TGTGTGTGTGTACTGTCAAATCAGATCTGACTGGTACAGAAGGAGATTGTTCTTCCTTCTCCAGCAGAGCTTCTGGTGGATTTGAACCATGCACCTTTGGGATTGCAGCGCAGCTTCTTGCCACTAGGCCATCAGAGCTCCCAAAAGGGATCATTTCACGTGCTTAGTTAGAATAAGCAGGCTCGGATTCTGATGGTCATTTTGGGCACGTGGTCCCCTACCTTGTTAGGATCCAACTTGCTTTTGTCCACTGGAGTTGAGTCTTTGATCACTTCCACGAATTCCGCTCCAAAACACTGACCGTAAAATCCCTGAGCAAGAGGAACCCACAGTTTATAAAGGTCATTTTACCACCACGGCGCTCTTGGGCTTCTCCGAAGTGCATCCATCTGGGTGAGCAATGCACCCACTGATTTGCTGCAAGTCTTCTCAGCTAATGAGCAAAGTCCAGCCTTTCCGGAGACAAAAGCAAAAATAAAAGGAAGTCCAGTCCTACAGCACGATATGAAGCCTTCTCTCAGATCTCCGCCCACCTCGTCCTGTCTTCTGTGGCAGCTCTCAGATGCCCACAATGTGGCAAACCGCAGTGCATGCTGACAGAACACACGACTCCAGTCCAAGAAAGGAGTCCTTCGTGGTGCCAACGGTTAACACACTGCACTGCTAAACAAAAGGTGGAAGGTTCGAGTCCACCCAGAGGTGCCTCAGAAGGAGGACCTGGCTATCCATGTTGGATGGTCAGCCTCTGAAAACCTTTGACCCACAGTTCTGCTCTGACACATAGAGGCCACCACGTGATTCAAAGGAGCCACAGTCTGGAGGGCTTTGATGACTTGCCCGAAACCGTCCAGCCCCCAGGAAGGAGACCTGGGAAACGATCTCAGCCTCTGGGTTCTCTGCCTCATCTAGTTTCTCCAGCTGTGGGCTAATCAGCTGCCACCCAGCTGGCTGTAACTCAAGACAATAAAAAATGTGCCCAAGTAGACCTGTGTGCCAGAGGGCTTTCAACGGCGGGTATCTCAGGGATGGATTGCCAGGCCTTTCTTCTGAGGTACCTCTGGATGGACCTGAACCTTCAGCCTCTCAGTAAATGATGTGTTCACTCTTTGCAAACCAGGGTCAAGTGAGGACATAAGTCCTTTGCCTAATTAGAGCACCAGTGGAGATCATTAAGAACACACAGATAATAAAATATTTCCAGTTTCACAGCTATGAAAGGGAATCAATGTAAAACGATAGCAAAGGACGACGTGGTGTCAGTTCAGGGTTCTAGGCACCTAGCTGGGGCAGGTTTTCCAGGGAGACCCTGTGACTTTTCCCCCAAGTCCTTAGGGGCTGCTCATTTCAACTGATGTCTCCTTTTAACTCCCTCCGTATCCTCCCAATCCTTTCCTCCAAGGACTCGCTGATCTTCGCTGGGATGTTGGGAACCTGACATACATGGTGGGCTCGTGAGGGCCACCAGCGCATGGTCAGGACCCTGCCCTGACCATGGTCAGGACCCTGCCCTGACCACCCAGCTGCTGATTCCAGACTGCTTCCCACAGAGCTGCTACCCTGAATCCTTTCTGTGTCAGAAGTGGGATCTGTCCTGTGGTGACTATAGACCAATGACTGACACATTTCCTAGGGTGGTTCAGTAATCTGGACAGACTCCTGAAAAGTCAGGATGACCTCCCAAATTTGTAAGCCTCCCCACTACAATTTACACAGGGTTATAAGAAAGCACAGGGCATAGGTGGGATTTTGGATCAAGAATTTGGAGGCAAAGTTCTCACAATAGAAATTTCCCAATGTTGAAAAGTGCACACAGGATCTTGGGGGAAAGCTAAGTCAGTCTGACTCACAGTGACTCCCCAGTGGCTTTGTAAGGGTCTAAATCTTTATGGAAGGGGTCCCATCTTTCTCCAGCAGAAGCACCAGTGGATTCAAAACACCAGTCTTTGGGTCAGCACCAGAAACACAGTGGAGCTCACACGTAGCTGTGAGCACTGGGGAACCAGACCATTTGCACGACCCTCCTGAATGGGCGTGATCTCGTCACCTTGCAGTAGTGTGGAGCTCGGTCTGTGGTGTCCCCTTGACCTGCTTGCACCTGGTCCACAGGAAAATGCACACTGTCAGGCATGCGGGCACCTGCTCACCTCCAGTCTGTGAGAGATCTCAGGGAGTTTGGTGATAGCCGGCTCTTTGTACACGAATTCCTGCTCATCCAAATCTCCAAACTTGGATCCATAGAAACCAACCCGGAAGTAGGTCCCAAACATCCTCTTGTGTCCCTGGGAATCAGAAAAGACCCACTCTTTAGTAAGAGAAGGTCTTGGGGTTGTAAAGAGAGGAAGTCTTTCCTTATGCGATTGAGAATCTCAGTAAAACTCAGGCCTTTGGAAAGAGTAAGGTTTATGGGGTTGAGTCTGGAAGCAATACACAGAGTGGTGCTCACATTTCCTGGGCGCTGGGTCATCAGGCCTCCTTCTTTAATACTCTGTCTGTGCCCAGCCCCTCACTGTTTGAAAGGTTGTTCATTGTCAAGGTGGTCCTGATTCATGGGGACCCCACACACTGGACCAGGACACCGCCCAGGCTGGGTCCAGGCCCGCGATTGGCTGTGGGTAGGATTGCAGTGACCTGTGTGTTTCTCACTGGCCAATCCTCAGCTGTTGCTCAGCAGACCTTCCTTCCTAGACTTAGGCTGGAACCTCCACTGTGACCTCCACCGTCAACAAGCAGCCAGCCCAATGGCAGACAGGTGGTGGCGGCCCACCAGACGCACTGGCTGGAATCAACCTGGGGTCTGCTGTGCAGATGTGGCAATTCTCTCACTGAACTACTGCCCACCTCCACACCCCTTCTCGTAACAGAATGTGCTCACAGTAATCTGCTCCCTAGACAGCAGGGTGGGCAGGGCCCCCGCTGTCAGGCGAGCGGCAGTGTCACAAGCTGGCGGTTACCTTGCTTATGATGCTGTCAAAGGCTTTCTGCAGCTTGCTGTGGGTGGAGGTGAGCTTCCGGAAGTCCCGGTGCGCTTCCAGGATGGGGATGACCAGCTTGTACACCTCGTTCACCGTCTCATACAAGCCCCCCTTGGGAAGAAGACAATGGAATTCAATCCATTGAATTGGAAGTGGAGACAAAAGGTCACTAGAGTTCATTCTCCCAGCCACGTCCTGGAGGACAGCATGGTGGTCAGCCCCACCATGATATAAGGCAGGGGAGGCCACACCTACTCTTGTCCTTGGGGAGGCCCTGACTCAACCTGCCCAAGACCAGGAGGGTGCTGTCAACAGGAGGTTTCCATGGAAACACAAGCGGAAATGGGAGAGTGGTGGGCAGCAGACACCACCGTAATCCCGTAATCCCAGGGCAGTGTGTGCACATTCTCACCCTGCAGGGGCCTCCTGCGGCCAAGGGCCCACTGCTAGCCTGGGAAGAGGAAGGAGGACCCCAGAGGTTCTTCTTCTTGACTTTTAGGTAAAACAAGAGCACCCTGAAGTTTCTCTGATTTCTTAAAGGAAAAGTGATGGGGGGAGAGAGAAAGAAAAAGAGAAAGAATCAAAGCCAGTAAATGAAGCACACAGAAATCCCAAGAAGTTACAGGAAGAAACTCAAGAGGAAAAAGATTAACATTAGAATGAAAACCTAGGTGGGCCCTGAACACAGTAAGGTAGTAGGCACCATGCTGGAGGACTGTGTGTGGCTTGACTCCTGGCCCCTTGTAACAGAGCTGACCTCAGAACTGCCCTGTCGGGACTCCCCGCGGTCATCTTGAAGGGAGCAGGTCACCAGGCCCGCTCTCTCACAGAGCAGCTAGCTAGTTTGAACAGCCCACTTTTCGGTTAGAAGCCAAGAGCTTAACTGTTGTGCTTTGTACGAAATATTAACTTGGTTTGAAACTTCAGGGAGGTAGGATTATTACAATGGAAAAGGCAAGCGTCCTTCTCCCCAGCCCCGGCTCTCGACGACTTAGACCTTCACGTTAGCTCCCAGCAGGAGTGTTAATACCCAGCATCAGCTAAGGAATGGGGGTCTCCGTGGTTCCACAGGCCCCTGTATTGTAAGAATCCAGAGACAGACACTATTTACGCCTTCCCTGTGCTCCAAGGCGCCTCTCCAAGTCTTTCCGCGGAGACGCGGGGAGAGTGCCACACGCCTCATCTCATGTTGTGTAACCCTGAGGTCCTCACATTACCGCTCTGTGGCTGGTCTCCGCCCTTATTAAGAGGAAATCTTACGATGAAGCATCTGCTGTGCAAGGAGCAGGCAGTGAGAACCAGGTGGCTGAGGGTGAGAGCCTGCCACCCGCCCGCCCGCCCACCTCCTTCCCTGATTTGATGGAATTTCACATGGCAAAGCCCTTGAGTCAGGCCAGGCCTTGCACCGACCCTGCTGTGTGTCCTCTTAAAACATGGCTGCTGAGGCTGCCAAGACCACAGAACTCAGGGTCACCCAGGCACACAGGGTCATGCCTTGGGATGGGATGGTGCGTTGTGCACTGCTATGGACTGAAAGGAAGAATAGAAATGAGAGTCACAGGGAGGGAGAGGGAAGAGGGTGGCTGCAGCGTGAATATTGTAATCAATGTCATAAACCAAGATGTAGACGAACAGCCCATGGGAAAACAATTTCCAAATCATAATAAATAAGGGGATAAAAACCCCCAACCAAGCACCCCGTTGTGTCAAGTCAACTGCTCGTAGCAGCCTGGTAGGACAGAGAGAACTGCCCCAAAGGGCTCTGAGGCTGTAAACCTTTATAGAAAACATACTGCCTATCTTCCTCTTACAGAGCAGACGGTGGACTGGAAACACCAACCTTGTGGTGACCAGGTGAGTGTTTAATCTCCATGTCACCTAAGTTCTCTGTGGCTTGAACTGCATTCCCTAAGATGCATGCTGAGACCCCAGCCCTGCACCTGCCATTGTGATGCTGTTGGGGAGAAGGAGCTTTCTGTTCGGTTCGTGAGGTCTTGATCCCCATCACTTCTGAGTTCCCAAAAGACCAGAGCAGACACAGACACATAGGGGTGTCGGGGGTGGGCAGGGAGGATGGGAAGGACCCTTTGGAGCACAGGTCCTGCACTTGGTGTTCCAGCTTCCAGAATGGAAACATGGCATGTCTGTTCTCTTCTGCCGCCTACTGAGATAGGGTACAGCCCCAGGGGACCTAGGAGGGCGTGGGGACACTGACCGTGCTGAAGAGTTCAGCTGCCTGCTCCAGCAGGCCCACCAGCCCGCTCTCAGTGAAGTAACGGCCTGAGCAAACGCCGTCTGCATCCGGTGACAGGGTGTCGTCAGACACGGCGGACTCCTCCAGCACGTTGGAAGAAATGTTCTGTGAGGGACCAGGGGAGAGTCAGGCTGAGGGTGTAGACTGGAGGGAGGCTGGGGTTGTCCAGCACCCTCCCAGCGTGTGGTCAGGCAGGTATGTGTACCCGTCCGGCCGCCATGAGCAATGAGATCATGACCACACTCGCCCTGATGTAGCTGCTGAGCGGCCCCTGGACTCACAGTGGTGACCTCACACACAGCAGGGCTGGACACTCAGGTCCATAGGCTTTTCATGGGCTGTTTTTCAGGAGATTGCCAAGCCTTTCTTCCTAGTCTTAAGTTTCTAAGTATCACTGAAACCTGTGCAGTATCTGAACGATACAAAAACCTCCCCTAACAGAAGGGTGGTGACTGGACATGAGGTGCACTGCCAGGGAATCGAACACGGGTCTCTTACATGAAAGGTGAGAATTCTGCCACTAGGCCATCACTGCTCCACCCCTGCCATGGTCCCCTTGGGCTGCTTGCCACCTTGTAATGCCAGCTGAGTAACACTGGTTAAACCACCTGAAGGGGCATATCATTGCTTTTTTTCAGGAAGATCAACTAACAGGACCTTGACCTCTGGGGTGTTCTGAAGTGGGGTGACACCACCCTGACTTGTGGACTTGCAGTCACAGTGTGACAGGACAACCTTGGTGGGCGGGCTGGGGGGGGATGTCTTCCTTGTGGACACTTTGATGGCGATTCTCCAATGGCTGATATTTTGCTAAAACCATCTGTGCTCCCTTTGTACGGTGCACAGAGCACAGAGCCTCTTGCCTGGGTCCAGCGACAGGCCAGGACCAGTGGGGTATTGTCATTGTCAGTGTGTGTCACAGCACTGCTGACTCACCATGACCTCACACACAATGGATGGGAACCCCGCTGGGTCGGGCACCATCCTCACAACCTCTGTTGGGCACGAGCCCATCCCAGCACTCATTGATCATCCATCTCCTTGAGCATCGGGGAGCAAGTGAAATAACCAGGGAGCCAAATTTAAGGAGGCACCAGCCCCTCTTAGAGCAGCGTCAGTGCCAACCTCAGGTTTGCATTTGCTACTACACTTGCGTCCTGCAAACCCTGGCTCTGGAAAGCGACGCTCATGCTCCAGAGAGGTCAGGAATAATTTGTTTGTTAAACCTGGCCCAAGGATTTTATTTTATTTTACTTGGATTTATAATAAATGCCCATGGAAGCAGCAGCCATGAAATCAAGATGTATTGCATTGAGAAAACCTGCTGCCTAAAACCTCCTTAAGGTGTTTGAGAGTAAGGATGTAATTTTGAGCACTAAGGTGCACCTGACCATCCCACGACATTTTCACCTCATATGCGTGCAGCTGTAGTGAGTTCTGGTGGCTCAGGTAGTAAGGAGTTGCACTGTTAACCCAATGGTGGTGCCCGTCTGGGGGTTTGAATCCATTAGTGACTTCCCAGGAGAAATATGGCAATGTGTGTCCACAGCCTTAGAAATCCAGTGGAAGGGTCACCATGACTTAGAATGAACTTAATAATAATGAATTTTACTTTTTAATTGAATAAGAGATTGACTAGTTAGATGCCTTTTTTTCGGATACAATGTAAAATCAGTGGGGGAAAAACAAGTCTCAACAGAGGTGAAAGAAAAGAAAGAAAGAAAGAAAGAAAAAGAAAGAAAGAAGAGAAGAGAAAAGACAGAAAGAAAGAAAGAAAGGAAGGAAGGAAGGAAGGAAGGAAGGAAGAAAGAAAGAATAGAGGAAGAGGAAGAGAGGAGAGACAGGTACCTGCCCCTGTGAGGGCGGTGCAGCCTCTCCTGTACACTCTAAGAGGTATCTGTTCTAGCATATCTCTCCTTGTCACATTATCAACAAATCATCTGCTAACTGAACTTTCCATAGTATGGCTGAATCTACCAAGAACTCAATTTTGAAATGCAGCAAGCATATATAAATAAACAATTCTATATAGTAACCACATCTACCAACAGAAACAGAGAGACGCACAATGTGACCCAGCACACACCGGAATATTACTCAGCCACGAAAAGCTAAAGGCACAGGCCTCTCCCTACATGAGTGAAAGAAGTCAATCACAAAAAGGCAAACGGGGCACGAGTTCACTTAGATGAAGAGTCTGTAACAGCTAAGTGTAAATACGTAGACCTGGGCGTCCTAGTGGTGACTAGTGGGAGGCGGGGGGGCGGGGGGTGAAAAGACACTGAGCTTCTGCCAGGAGTGAAGGGAGAACTCGTAAAGAGCCTTGGTGATGTTTATACAGCATGATGAGCGGACGTCACACGATGACTTGTACGTGCAAAGACGGGTTGAAGCAGCACATTGGCTTTTCTGCATTCGCTATTTACCAAAGAATGACACCCACTGCCACTGAGTCTGTTCCAACTCACAGCGGCTGTCCACTGGGTCCACCGGGCCCGAGGCTGTGTCTTCAGGGAGGAGACTGCTGCATCATTCTCTCTCAGCATTGCAGTGGGATTTGAACTTCGACCTTCTGGTTAGTAGCCTAATACTCTACATACTACGTCATCAGGACTCCTGTTAGATATATGTTGTTGTGTGCAGGCGAATTGGAATCAATCTGTAGCTGACCCTCCAGCAGGTTTTCAGAGACAGTTAATCACTTGGGAGGAGACTGTGCAGCCTTCTCCTGTGGAGCAGCTGGTGGGTTCGGACCATGTGCCGCTGGAATTGCAGGGCAGCTTCTTACCACTAGGCCACCTGAGCTGTTAGATACTGCAACCTGCTGGCTTGCTCTGCACTGGATGATGCCGACGGATGCAGATGCTCAAGGCTTCCCAGCTGAACAGAGGCTCTTTCAGCAACAGGGACAGGCTTGGTCCCTCACAGTGCTCGTGTGATAGGGATGGTGAAGTCGGCAAGTGGCTTTCCAAAAGGGCGGTGTGTGTCAGGGCACGAGGCACGAAGTGACTGGCTTACATGGTTTCACGAAAGTAGCTGTTGGGGGTTTGATTATAAAGGAGGAAACAAACCCACAATATAAATGAATGAAATATAATGAAATGAAGGACTGTATGGAACACAATTTAAAAAGTTAACAAACTAATACAGTCATTGAGGAAGGGGCACAAAAGAGGAGAAGAAACACTTCAATTCCTGGGGAAATAAAAAAGTGAGTGTGTCAGCACAGTGCAGCATGAAGTGGTAAATGGAAGAATTCCCAGGAACTAGAATCGGAGTGCTGGAATATTTATGCTGGAAAATACCAAACGGCATATGGACACATCCAAAGAAACTGTCATGTTCATTCTTATGTAATTTTTTTTTTAAAAAGTGATTTGGAAAAACTCTTTTGGATGAAAATGTAACTGCTGCGTTTAGCGGGCTATGGGACCGGTGTAGCCAGAGCGGTCCTTACGGCGAGTCTGGTGAGACTGGACCTCTCTTCCTTTGGTCATGTTATCAGTAAGGGTCAGTCTGTGGAGATAGACGTCATGGTTGGTAAAATACAGGGCGAGAAAGAGAGGGAAACCCTCAGTGAGATGGGCTGGCAAAGCGGCTGCAGGAATGAGCTCAAACGTGGTAACCAAGGATTGTGAGGACGGTGCTGGCCTGGCCAGGCCTGAGGACGGTGGGCCTGGGCTCTACCCGCGGTCCCTCGGAGGTGGAACCGACTTGACGACACCTAACAACATAGAATACACCCCTGGCTGAGAAGAAAATTGGTTTTCCAGAAGTGGAAACACACATTGTGTTATTGTCGATCCTAAGAAAGAGATGCTGGCCTTCAGAGGCAGTGGCCAGCTGAGTCAATGTACAAGATTCCGGGAAGTCAGAGCCTGGCCCTCCTGGCTTGAGCTCTAGGGTTTTCTTCTCCAGGCCTGGGAAGGTGATCCTGAACTGTCTTCTCTTGCTGGCTAGTACACGGGCAGCAGCACAAAACTGTGCTGGAAGAACAGTAATGAAAGCAAAGCCTTTCATAAAATCAGCCACGTAAATTCAAACAAGAATAAGGTGAACACTCATAAATTACGCTGCTGTGTGTCTGAATTTCCTATTTATGCCACCACACTGTTCAGTTCACGGATGGTCATTTCTAAAGAGCACAGAACTGGTTTTTGTTTTTCTTTTAAAGGCAGCATTAAATGATTCAGGACAAGATGTCCAAATAGCCACTGCACCTCCCAGACAGAGCCAGCTCGCAGGTCTGTGGTCAAGTTCTTTGCCAGTTCTGGGCCCTTTCCAAATTCTCCTAAGAAAGTATTGAGTCAGCTGTTTCCTTTTTTCCAAACCAAAGCCAAGTTGATTTCTTGATTTTAGAAACAGAAAGTAGGACATTACAGAGTTGGCAAATGTTGGGAAAATATTTCTAAGATTGTCATTGTAATTGCCAATCACAAGTCTTTGGGATCAAAGCTTTATGTCATCGTTGATAGGTTCCACTGAGTCACTTCCATCTCATACTCGCCCCCCAGGTACAGCTGAACAAAATACCACCTGGTCTGAGATACCCTCACAACCACGGTGGCCTTACCCTTTCTGTCAACCCTCTGCATTATTACCAAGCATGACTTCCTTTTCCTGACGGTGCGACCCAAGGACATGAGCTGGTCTCACTATCTTCCTTCTGCCAGACTTCTTTCATGACAAATGTCTTTATTCTTCTGGAAATCCATGGTATATTAACTATTCTTCACCAATACCAGAATCCTAATGCATCGATTCTTCTTGTGTCTTCATTGTTCATGGCCCAGTTTTGACAATTGAAAATACCATCATATGGCTCAAGGTGACCTTAGACCTCAAAATGATAACAGAGCGACTATTCCACGGAAAAAAGAATGGAAAGACACAGTAATTTTTCTAAAAAAAATAGTTGTTTTTTTTTTTTTAGGTATTTTCAGGAACACATTTATTAAAAAAAATAGTTTAAACTCCTCCTTAATGGGGAGTTTGCAGAGTCTGAATGACCTGAAGGACGTGCTTCCTCTCTCAGTCTTTCATCCACGGGAGAACTCTATTATTATCTCTTTTATTATCTGCCTCACCGTTATTTGGAGAGGCGTGAATGAAATCATGCAAAGCGTGTGTAGGATCTAAAGTACTTGAAACAGAGGCCATGATGACGGTTCAGGACAGGACAAGACTCAGGCCTGTTATTCACAGGGTCAGGTGGGTCAGAGTCGGCTAGACAGCACTTAAGTACCATTACGATCATATAGAGTAAATATTATTGGTGTGCTACTAATTATCATAAAAATGATAAATCAGGGAGATCTCATGGCCTAGTGGCAAGAAGCTGCACTGCAATCCCAGAAGTACACATTCCAATCCACCAGATGCTGTGCTGGAGAAGGAGGGGAAGTCTCCTCCTGTACCAGTCAGATCTGATTTGAAGTTACACACACACGAAAAAGAATAAAATTTAAAAAAATACCCTCTCCAAACCAAACCCACAGCCACGGAGCAGTGGCTACTTCCCCAGGTTTCTGAGGTTGTATATGGCTTTGCGGGCAGTGAAGGGGATTTGAAATATTTGCTGCAGAAGATCAGCCTTCAATATGGATAAGGTCACAACATCAAGAAGACAAAAATCCTCACCATGGGGCTAGTATGTGACAGCATGATAGACGAAGAAGACTGACATTGCCAGTGATTTCATCTGGCTTGGGTCAATCGAGACCCTCGGCACCAGGGAGCTCTGGTGGCCTCGTGGCAAGAAGCTGCACTGCAATCCCAGAGGTACGTGGCTTAAATCCACCAGATGCTCTGCTGGAGAAGGAGGGACAATCTCCTCCTGTACCAGTCAGATCCGATTTGACAGTATACACACACAAAATAATAATTTTTTTAAAAAAAAGACCTTTGGCATCAGCAGTTAAGAAATCAAAAGACATATTGCATTGGGTAAATCTGCTGTTATACCCAACACCTCTCCAAGGTGTTAGGGAGGAATGATGTCAGTTTAAAAACCAAAGTGCAAGCCATGGCCTTTTCAATTACTTGTTAGGCATTTGAAAGTTGGATAATGAGTAAGGATGACAGAAGAAGAATCGGTGCTTTTGAGTTGTGGTGTTGAAGAAGACTGAGTATCCCATGGGCTAACAAAACAACTAACAAATAGGTCTTGGAGAAAGTGCAACGAGGGTGGTCCCTGGAGACAAGGGACATGAAGTTTTACTTCCCATATTTTGGGTGTGTTGTTAGGAGGGGCCAGGCCTTAGAAAAGGATACCACGCTTGGAAAGGTGGAAGGTCAGTGAAAGAGAGAAGGACCTTCAATGAGATGAACTGACACAGTGACTTAACTCAAGTGTATCAGAGGTGGTTAGGATGGCACAGGACTGGGCGGGGCTCAGCGCCATCGTTCAGAGGGGTGCTATCCGTCATACTTGACAGCACCTAACAACAACAACGAGAACAACAACAAGGACAACATGTCTTTACGGTAGGGGACTGTCTGTAATCTTTCCAGGAGGAGCATGTGGTAGATCCAGTCTATGCCACACAGAGCTTTTAATACTATACTACAATACAGCATCATTATTATATTTAGGATCCCTGAGTGGAATAAATAATTAATATGTGTGACTACTAACTAGAAGGTTGGAGGTTCAAATCCACTCAAAGGTGCTTCAGAGTAAAGGCTTGATAGCCTGCTTCTGAAATACCACTCCCTGAAGACCCTGGGGGCCCTGTTCTACTTGGACACACATGGAGTCCCCAGGGGTCAGGGTGGGACTGACAGCAGCTGATTGTTGTTGTTGTTGTGTACTGTGGAGTTAGAACCAACTCCTAGCTGACTCCCCAGCGGATTTTCAAAGGCAATAATTCACAGGAGGAGATTGCCTGTCCGAATGTGTGCCTTTGGGTTGGCTAAGCGACTCCTTACCGCTAAGCCATAGGGATTGGTGCCTTTGCCACTCAGGGCTGCATGATTCTCAGCTGAGGGAGCGTCCTGTGCTCTGCAGCCTCCCTGGACTCTGTGCAGTAGACACCAGTGTGTGTAATGCAATGAGCTGTAGCCAATCATTCCACTACCCCGGGGCAAGGCCACCAGAAGTGTCTCTGGACACTGCTCCCAGGGCAGCACTATTGTCCTCCTCCCCTCACCCCCCGAGGGCAGAGCCCAGGCTGCACCTGAAAGCTGACGCTGCCCACAGGCAGGTAGCTGTGGTCCTCCAGCATGCCCAGGTACTCGGCCACCAGCGCGGCGGCGTGCACCAGGCACATGGCGGCCTCCGTGTAACACTTCCTCTTGGTGTGCTTCTCCGCCATGTTCTGCAGCCAGGTCAGCCGCAGGTCCGGCGACGTCTGGTAGCTCTTGGCAATTCTGAAGACAGAGTGAGAAGGAGGGTCAGCATGTTAGACCATGATCGGAGCAAAGCCATCAGGATGAAATAAAAAGTATAAATAATAATTGATTATACCCCCCCTTTATTCTATGGTAAACAGAAAAGTGAGCTAGTTCTCGTGGGGTTGACTTGTGACAACCCCACGTCTGTCAGGGTTCTGTGCTCCACAGAATCTCAATGGCTGAGTTTTAAAGTGGACTACCAGGCCTTACTTCCCAGACATCTTTGGGTGGATAAGCACTGAAGCATATTAATTATTTACACCACCCAAGGAATTAACAAAAAAGATGTTAGAAAACATTCCTCTGGATTTGAATTAGGGAGCTGTCTCTGAACACCTGCACGCCCATGAACCCACGGTCCCAGTTTACTTTCTCATTTCTAGTAGACGTCATCCAGAGCTGTGTTTCCGCGTTGCTGCTGATAACGGCGTTAGTAAGAGCTCAAGTGGCAAATCCTTGCCCCTCAGGGAACTTTTCTGGGAGCACTGACCTGTACATGAGGTCCATCAGCATCTCAGGGTCCTCCTGGAACTCCTTCATCTTCACAGTGTCATATAAGATGCTGTTGAGGTTACGCAGAAGCTCTTCCACCTGCAGGAAGAATAACACAGAGGCTGGGCTTCGTGCGGCGTGGTGGTGAGTGGAGACATCATGGGCAGGGCGAGGGGAGAACGGAGATGGGCCCGGTTCACCTTGCTCTTCACCTGGCCAGGTGCTTCTGAGCCCAGGTGTGAGTCGGCCCTTTAAAACCCTCTGCCACAGAGCTGATTGTGAATCACAGTGACCCTCATTGGTTTCCTAGGCTGCAAGTCTTCAGAGGAGACTGGCCATCTTTCTCCCACTGAGCAGCTGGAGGATTTGAACTTACAACCTTTCAGTTAGCAGCTTGATAGGTTACATTGTTGTTGTTGTTAAGTGCCCTTGAGTAATAGGCGACTCATAGCAACCCTATGAACAAAAGTCCTCAACACTTGTGTGTCTTTCATCCTCTCCCCAGGTTCATAGCGTTTCCGGAGGCAAGCTGTTTGCGGAAGTAGATGCCACTCCTGCTTCCAAGCTTGTTTTAATCAGGAAGCTCCACCAAACACTGTCCACCATGGGTAACCATTATTACATTTGACACATCAGTGTCACAGTGTTCAGCTTCACAGCAACCATGAATTACCGCTGGACAGCAAATGGACAGACCAGTGCTATACCACTTAGGAGAATGTTTGACAAAAAAACAATTAAAACCAGGCCTGAGGGCGGGCCACGGATTAAAGTCACCCACCTTTGGCTTGTCAAATGTGATAGGTTACATAGGGACCCACAAATTATCTTCTTCTCCACCATGTTTTTTAAAAACTAGTTTTAGTTATGTGCAACCTGGAAATTCCTACACTAATCAGGAACATGGGGGCTTCTCCCAAGCAAAGGAGCCCTGGTGAGACGGGGAGAGGGGTGTGGTGATGGCACAGACCCCACAGGGTCTCCTTCTGCTGCCCAGGTGGCGGCTATCTGTCAGAAGCCCCCAGAGGCACCTATCAAGGACAGGTATATTTATCTTCAAGCTGGTGCAGTGAGGCCGGTCCTGACCCACAGCGATGCTCCAGGGCAGAGAACACAAGGTCCCGAGGCTGCACGTCTTTACAGGGACAGACTGCCTCACCCTCGTCCTGTGGTGCAGCTGAGGGGTTCAGACCCCTGACGTCACCCCCTGAATCAGGACTCATGTATATACAGGTGGATATGTCCATGTTTGCAGGTGCACATATATGGATGCAGAGAGCTCTGGGGGTCGGGCGGATAACAAATTGCTGCCAGTCCACTGGCTGGTGGTTCGAATCCACTAGCCGGTATCATGAGGAAGGTGAACCAGTTCCTCTGAAAACACAGGAGGTTCAGCTATGAGTCAGTTCTGACTTGAGGGCAATGGGTTGAGCTGATGTATGCATGCAGTTGTTGTTAAGGGCCGTCGAGTCATAGGCAACTCATAGCGACACTATGAACGAAAGACCTGGACACTTGTATAACTTTTGTCTTTTCTCCAGGTCCATAGGGTTTCCCCGAGGCAAGCTATTTTCAGAAGTGGATGCCACTCCTGCTTCCCAGCTTGTTTGAATCAAGGAGCACCACCAAACACTGTCCACCGTGGGTGACCATTCTCGCATTTGACACGTCAGTGTCACAGTGTTCAGCTTCACAGCAACCACGAGTTACCTCTGTACAGTAAGTGGACAGACCAGGGCTATATGACCTAGAAGAATGTTTCACCAAAAATACCTAAAGACAGGGCTGAGGGCCACGGATTAGAGTCACCTGCCTTTAGCTTGGTAGCATCACTTTCTGCCCACTAGGCCACCTGACCTCTCTCTATGATGTTGTTGTTTTTGTTAAGTGCTGTTGAGTTGTAGGCAACTCATAGCAACCCTATGAATAAAAGACATGATACTAATTATGTATAGGCTATGTATATGTACACGTGTATAAACATGGACACACAGACAAGGATGTGTATATATATATATATGCATGTGTCTGTAAAGCACAGGCCTCATATGTCCATGCATGTATGTATACACATGTGTATGTGTCCATGCAGATATGTGCATGTGGACATCTGTATCTAGCTCTATCTCCATATCTAGATGCATAACCAGTTGCCGTTGGGTTGACTCTGGCCGGCGGTGGCCACACACGGCTATCTGTGAGTCTGTAGCTGGTCAACGGCCAGGCCTGGGAAAGGCCGCACCCGCCCACCTGGATGGGGAAGAGCGTGGTCTGCATGGCCGTGTCCTCTTCAGCGTAGGCCAGGATGGTCCGCAGGGACCGCCTCAGGTGCTCCTCGTTAAAGTCCGCGGCCTTGCCCACCAGAGAGGCCAGCGACATGGTCACTTGCATCTTGACTCTCGCAAAGTTCTGCACGGGGTGGACAAGGGAGCGAAGCAGAGGCATCAGCTGGGGGCTAAGTGAGGATGGCTGAGCCCACAGGGAGGAGGAGGAGGATGGGGGTCTCCCCGTGCCCCACCCCTGCGGCACCCTGGCTTCCTCCCCTCTCAGAGACACTGAGCCGAGAGCCAGTGCAGCGTTGAAATGAGGGCGTGCAGCCGTGAATCAAGCCCTGGGTACTGCCGGAACCCTGTACATTTTAACCTAGGACCGGGCTGCCTCCAAGCCAAGGCTGGGACCGTCCTACAGCGTCGGCCGCAGGATTTATCCTACCTGCCCACGGTTCTTCCCCTGGGGCTTTGTCCAAACTGCAGGGTGATGTCACTCTAGGCAGGTGCTCACTTTTGGTCCCCACTTCCTTCTGGGACCATGGGACAGCTGGCCCAAGGGCCCCTCCCAAGAAGCCACTCCCACATATTCTGAGGACCCTGCCTCCCTCTCTCGGTCATGCCCCCCGTGTCATCACACGCCTGCTCACAGCACGGGTGCAGAGGACAGTCCACGTGTGCAGAACCCAGAGCACGGCTGCCTGCGGGCGACCACGCCGAGCCCAAAGGTGCTACACATGCATGACAACGGGGTCCAGCGCCTCAGCTGATTCCAAACTCGCTTTCACAGGCTACTCTGTCTGTTGTATTTCCTGAACAGACACTAACTTGGGTCTCACAGATTCCCGCGTCTCCCAGTGAAGAGACCTGTGGAAGCCACTGATTCCCCGGCCTCATAGTCACACCTGGACGCAAACTCGAGCAAAGATGCCACCTGCCTAGACCAGCACTTCCCTTCCCCAGGATGGACGTGATGTCAGCGCAGCGCGGGGTCACCTCCCCGGGACCAGTGCCCTCCAGCCACCTCTCCTCACTCCCCCCCCCAGGATGGATGTGATGTCAGTGCAGCATTGGGTCACCTCCCCCCCCGCCGCCCCCCCGTCCCCGCGAGCCGCCCACTCACACTGACGGCTCCGAAGCTGAACCTCATGACCAGGTAGAGGGTGGCGCAGGCCTGGCTGCGGGTGACGTCCATGCTGCTGCTGCAGTGCTGAAGCACACGCTGGCACAGGTCCGCGCACTGCTCCAGCTCCTCCTCGAACAGCAGGTCCCCGTACTAGGAGGGACGCGGGCCGTCAGAGGGCCGCCACCTTGGATGTCCAGCGGCCCCATCAAAGGGCAGGTCCCCGGACCAGGAGGGACACGGGCCGTCAGAGGGCCGCCACCTCGGATGTCCAGCGGCCCCATCAAAGGGCAGGTCCCCGGACCAGGAGGGACACTGTAGCTACCACTCAGATGTCCACCTGCCCCATCAAAGGGCAGGTCCCTGAACCAGGAGGGACACCGGGCTGTTAGAGGGCCACCACCTCGGACATCCACCTGCTCCATCAAAGGGCAGGTCCCTGAACTAGGAGGGACACTGTAGCTACCACTCAGACGTCCACCTGCCCCATCAAAGGGCAGGTTCCCCAACCAGGAGGGACAAGGGCCATTAGCTGTCCCTCAGATGTACACCTACTCCCTCAAAGGGCAAGTCCCCAAACTAAGAGAGACACAGGCTGGTAGACGTCCACCTGACTTATGTGCCCCACCTCCTTGAAAGACAAGTCCCCAAACCAGCAGAGACACAGGCCCACAGATGTCCACCTGGCTGCTGCCCTCCAGCCTGTTGCAAGATGCAAACGCCTGCCTGTGAAAGCCACAAGCCCAGGCAGGAGCCGGTATAATGAGCCCCAGAAGCCAAGGGCCAGGCTGGAGCAATGGCCTCCACGCGAGACCTCATGAATCACACAACAAAGGACAAAGCCAGTGGACCCTGAGCTGGCTCTGACTCACAGAGGCTCAGCTTGTGTCAGCACAAAACGTGCTCCCTGGGGTTTGAGGACTGAAGTTTCAGAAGCAAATCACCAGGCCTTTCTTCCTTGGCACCTCTGGGTGGACTTGAACCTCCAACCTTGGGCTAGTGGCGGAGCTCATTAAGGGCTGTGTGGGACGATAGTTAGCTGGGTTGCCTTCATGGTTAAGGTCACAGCTTTGAAGCGATACGCCTCAGTTTGCTGAACCTACACTGTGGAATTGGTTCCTATTCTGAGCTGCTGGACAGGCCGGAGGAGAGCTCGCCTGCAGGACTCCCAAAGCCGCAGAGGCCATGGGAAGGCCGCTGAGACCCACGACTTTGCAAACCTTGGGATGGCGCCATGATCTGGAATCAACTTGGTGACAGTGGGCTTGGTTTTGGTTGGAATTTTTTAAAAATGATCTTATTTTTTTATTTTGTGTGTGTGTACTGTCTAATCGGATCTGACAGGTACAGGAGGAGATGGCCCCTCTATCTCCAGCAGAGCATCTGTGCAGCTTCCTGCCACCAGCCACCAGGACTCCCTCGGTTGGGAATTTTTATGAACTCAAAATGCGACAACTTTCTTCCTCAGAGTGCTTAGTGAGTTTGAACCACAAACCTCTTGGTTAACTCAATGCTTAGCCTACGGTTTCCCCAGGACTCATTTAACATTCCTGAGTCTCCTGGAAAGCACTGGTGATCATCACCAACAGAAACAGAGTGGCCTTGATGGTGGGGAGCAGGGAATCCCACTTTCTAATTGTAAATGACGACCTGTGGAGGACCCCACCTGGCTGAGGCCCCTGACCCATCCGACCCGTCTTTGTAAGGATGATCCTTCCCACACCTCCTGCGTTTCGGTTTGGTTTGATTTTGGTTTGGTTTTTCTTTACAGGGAGAGTGTGAACGTGTACCACTGTGTAGGACCTACTAACTGCTGTTGGCTCAGTTCTGACTCTCAATGACCCTGCTGAACAAGGGAGGACCCCTCACGCATTTCTGAGGCTGTGCACCTGTGCAGGACAGATGGCCACATCAGTCTCTGGAGGAGCAGCTGGTGGATTTGAACCGTTAATCTTGTGCATAGCAGTTGAGCACTTAACAGCTGCGCCCCCAGAGTTCGTTTCATGGTATTGAGAGCAAGTGTCAAACCCGACGGAGAGGGAAGCTGGCCCCTCGAGTCACATGCTCAGGTCCTGGGCCCACTGGGAGTGGCCTTTTACATTTCCACAGTGGGCCCACGTTGCAGCTGTGGCAGCTGCTCCCCCTCGCAAGGTGTCCTTCCATGGAATCAGTCCACCTGGACTCCAGCGTTCCCCTCCCATGTCCCCTGGCAGGCGTCCTGCTGTTTGGAAGGCTTGGAGACAGCTCGACGAAGCTGACCGGTAGTGAAGAGCTTACCCTGGCGATGAGCGCTCGGAGGGTGGCGAAGCAGTGTGTCAGGTACGTGGTACTCTGGTCACAGCTCAGCGAGTTCACCAGGACCCTCAGCACGCCTCCTAGCAGGCTGTCCTTCCAGTCCAGAGCCGAGCTGGCCTGCAGGGAGGAGGCAGTGAGGCTGGGTGCTGCTGGCCACTCACCACCTTTGTGGCTCGGTGCTGTGAGGCCCACGGGCCTTGCCTCAGTTGTCCTGGTCAGATGGGCCATCCCACTCTCCCACAGAGATGGCTCCTAGGACCTGCTTCCCCAACACCCCACTGAACTGGGATCTACACCCAATTCTGCCTCCTGAAGAAATGCAAGAAGCTGTGGTGGCCTAGTGGGTAAAAGTTGTGCTATCAACCCAAAGGCGCACTGTTCTAATCCACCAGCTGCTCTGAGGCAGACAGATGGGCAATGTCCCCTCATCCAATGTACAACTTCAATCCACTAGAGTGGACAGCTCACAACAACAACAACAATAACGGGATGTGGTAGTTGAAGAGCTTGTGCAAACACCAGCTGTTTCTCAGAAGGGGCAGGCAGCCCTCCGTGAAGATGCCCGCCTTGCCCATGGGGCAGTTCGGCTTGTCTCACAGGGTCACTCGGAGTCGGAATCCACTCAGTGGTGCCGGGTTTGGGCTGCTGAGCTCTGTCACGAGGCACACTGCCCGCTCCCTGGCCCACAGTCGTTGGGACATTCTTCTTCTCTGTACAATTTACAGCTTTCCTCCACAACCCACAGGACAACAGGGGCTCCTCAATGGTGGCGACAGTTCTAAATCCAGCTGATGATCAACTACCAAAACAAACAGCTCACTGCCACCCAGCTGACTGTGGCTCAGGGCGACCCAAGTTTCACCAAGAAGACTATACCCGCTGTAGGGTTTTCTCAGCCGTCATCTCTGCACAGGCTGATCTCCAGGCCTTTCTTCCATGGCACCCTGAGGGGATGTGTTCTGAGCCAGCAGCCTTGCTTTCAGTTTGATTCGATTCCAACTCACGGTGACCCCACGGGACAGAGATGAACTGTCCCCTTGGGTTTTTGTGACCATCATCTTTACACAAGCAGAGGCCAGTCCGTCCGCAGGGAGCTTCTGGTGTGTGTGGACTGTCGCCCAAAGACCTCTCTCATCAGTGACAGCAGGGCAAGAGGGGCCATGGATGACGCCAATTGTCCTTTGGGTCTCTCTGAAAGCAAGATGTGTTCTGAGGGCTGGTGGTGGGCATGGAGCGCTAGGATCAATGCCACGTAAAGGCAGATCTAAAGAGTGCCACGCCTCCAAGCGACAGGAGACATGCAAGTCATCAGAGATCGGGACGCTGGCCTTCCCTGTGTGTCACAGATACTATGACTTTAGGCAACTTAAAAGTTGGACAGAGAAGACTGCACTGAGTTTCAACAATATTTCCTGTAGCCTTAATGTCAGCATTAGGTCTTATTTCAGTAAATGATTTCTCAGTGGAAACATTTTCCTACAGGGGTCAATTATTATGTTCCAGGGAACATAATTTTTCAATGGAATGGAAAAAAACTCCCATTATCACCTAGATTCTGGAGTTCAGGAAAACACCCACAGAGAGGATACCTTTAGGATGGTGCACTGTGTCCCTCAGCCCTCTCTTTCTCACGGTAGACCCCTCCACTCATCACCTGAGCTCCCAAACCAGGTGGGAGTAGTGGCTGCATCAGTCAACTGGAGATGACCCATTAGAAGGAAAGATCATTTATTAGACACCAACACACAACCACATCCACTCCCACACACACCCAACACACACATACCCAGACACACCCCAACACACCCCCTCCACACCCACAC